AGATTTTCTGTCTCTCTCAGGAGTGAGAGACAGAGAGAAAGCGCGCAGCTGCTCTTAACTGCTGTGGCCTGGCCCTGGTTGCTTGGCAACCAAAGCCTGCCCCTCACAAGCCTGACTGTGAACATACATTCTTCCGTACGTTTTTCGGTCGACTACTCCTCCCGCAGTTTTGGTCGCACATACACAAAAAAGGTATCAAAACGTGCGGCTCGGCCGGGACATTAGTGCTATGACTTTTCTAAGCGTTTCACCAAACAGTTTGCCGATAAATTGCTAGAGTCAGGCACACTCAAAATTTCTGTAAGAATTTTCTAGTTCCTGTTTACTACAGCTAAATCCTCTGTAGTTTTGCCCATAATTTCTGTCAGCTACGCTTGCACCCAAGTTAATTGCTGAGATATGGGAACAGCGAGAGATCACTACAATGTTTCCCAAATAAGTTTGTCTAACCTGGGAGTTTGTTTATAACCTAAGGTTAAACATCATTTGAGGGCATGCCTGTCACTGTCATATCTGTTTGTAGGTCAGGACTTAAAGTTAGAGTCTTAATTTCAGAGTTTTACTCATCATTCCTACTGGTAATAACATTCAATTTACCAAGATATTAACAGGAAGCAGGAGCATTCACTTAAAAGTCAGCAAACACGAGCAGTGTGACAGTCAACAAACCTCAAGGTTAGTTAAAGTCATTTAGAAGAGAAAATGAATGCTTATGTGTTGTAAACATTCACTACAATTTACAGACTTCCTGGTTCTACTCTGACCTACTCTACTTACTGTAGTTGTGCACACAGTGTTCCTGTGCAATGAGGAAATTATTACTGACATTTCAGGTGCTCTCACTTTCAGTTTTAGTTCCAATAAAGGCGATCATCTCGATGAAATGATGTCTTGTGTTAATCCTGTCTGATTGCCCACTTGTGTTCCTTGCCTGTTGGATTATGTTCGAAAAATGAATCAAAAATAACACCTTGGTTTTATTAAAACGGAATGATCCTTTTAAGTCTGACTTGTTCAAGTCTCAAGACTAAAGCTCTGCTCTTAAGAGTATACTGTGATGTTAACATTGCCCAGTCGTGCAGCACAGTGATAGTGAGGTTCATTAGCTGTTGAGTGGGTGTGCTGTCTTCACTCACCGGTCGCGGCAGGCTGAGGTTGGCACCGTACCAGTGGTAGAGCGCCCGCCACACCGGCTCTGGCACGGTCTCAAAGTCTCTACCAGGCGCCAGCTGCAAGGAGCGCTTCAGTCTGCCACCCTCCATGGTTAACGTAGGGGCCTGCAGGGGCACAGCACACACATCAGCATTTAAATACGTGCACAAAAGAGACTATCTGCCTCCTAGAATTACAGATAATAGACAGAGACAGTGTCCTAATGCTATGCACAGGCTGGCAGGCTGCTATCATTACAACAAATTGTAGAGATAAGACAAAGGAAAAGGAAGCACCATCTGGTCCCTGACAGCCTTTGCCAGCCGAGGAGGAGTGTCCCCTAATTGGGAATCTCTGATCATTTCTGTCAAACCCGAAAAGAATCTGGCGAAAATATTCTTCTAACACATTGTTGTGTTGTTTTATATGTGCTGAAGATCGCTAATTTTCTAAGGATAAACAAGCTGTGAAATTTGCATTTATTGCCTCTCAAAGGTCTGGATCACATCTGTCTTTTAAATGCATGGCTTTGAAGAAGAGCCATTTGATTCCTGTGAACAGACAAGCTTGCGAGTCCGGAGGGAATGTATTGATACTGAAGTCTTGAGACCAAGTAGCTTGACTGTTCTCATATGTCAAACATGTGCCAAAGCAAAGCTACGAACATGATGATCCATGCTACATGCTCACCACCTGACTGAGGGATGTGGGTTTTCTGATGTAACCAAAACTGGATCTTTTGGTCTGCAAATAATTATACAAACTGCTCTGAAAGCGACTGAATAGGTGTAGGCTGAGGCTACAGCTTATTCCACCCACTCTCTTACAAAGCATAATTTATTTGGCAAAAAAAGTTCTATACTAATGCCAAATTGCTATTTTTGATTTTACATTTTTATCTGTTCAAATTATTTTTAAATAATGTGAACAGCACACTTTAATTCACAAAGTGTGCTTAACATTATGACCCCCCCATGTTCAATAAATCTGTCCCTTTAACTTAACTACAATGCTTTATTTACATTAATTCCTACCCTTTCGTACCCTTAATCAAATCACATTAGCTGTATCTAATTAAAAAGCCACATTCTAGTAAATTGAATGATATGCTTTCTCTCTGAAAGTGTGATGAGAAAAGCAATACCATGTCTGTATACCTTGTCTGTGTCTTAGTGTAAAGCTTAGCTTAGCATGAATACTGGAGGCAGGGGGAAACAGCTAGCCTGACTCTGTTAAAAACTACGACCATTAACCATAAAGCAGTGTCTCCAGCTACAGTGCAGGATGCCAGATACAGTTGGTGAACACAGGAAGCTGCACACATTCACTGCGAGGCTGCTGCTTCAAGAGGTTCCAATCCAGTTCCAGTGTTTTTACCTTTCTATTAATGTATGGGTTAAACAAACAAGGTAACCTATAGATATATATTATAACTTGTACCTTTCAGAGTAGTGATAGACCCATTAATCGGGCCAATGATCTGGCATTTTGAGATAATCAGCATAGGCTGATGCTGGTGCTCAGGCCGATGAACAAAAAAGTGCCTGCAGATCCACATTTGTGTGGCTGCTGTGGAACGATGCTCTCTGAGTCTTGGGAAGGTGGTGAAAAAGTTGGTTTGGAGCCCTGTACTATAACTCTCATCCTGCTGTAAACCTACATTTCCTCAGTCATCATCATCTTTTCTAAATGTTAACATGTTTCTCCTAAATGACAGCAAATCTAATATCCAATACTGAGTACCAATATAAGTACTTAATACCATTACAGTTCTAACAATGACTTTAAAAACAAGGTATTCCTCACATTCTGACTGTAACAAATTAAATGTTGCCGAAAATATCTCCAAACTGCTAACATTATTTCTTTTTTGTTACCTGCTCAACTAACGAGAGGTCATGTGACGTCACGCTTCTATAAAGTAGGGCTGCGTAATTAATTGAAATATTATTAAGCTTACAATATGGCCAAGTGCAAATCGTAGAAGCTGAAATTTTCTGATAAAGGTCAAATGTGACAAACAGCACTATAATGAAGTACTGTAGTTCTGCAGAGATACCCTGGTCTACAAATCTTGTTTTCCAGATGTAGGATAAAGGATGTTAGATATCAGCATTATATATCAGCCATCAGCAGCCCTGCTCCATAAATATTTCCATCGGCCACTGAACAACCCATATCAGTCGACCACTGCTTTAGAGGGTGTATTTTTGAACTTTGATCAGAGCTACACTAGCTGTTTTCCTCTGTTGACTGACCACGTCCTGATTCAAACTCCTTTTGACAGATTAAATAATGCGGATAGTAATTTATTAAGTCCCTATATTTGTCGCCGTTTAATTTAATAAAGCCTACATTAGTTGTTTCTTCATAACTAGTTTTGTTTACAATTCTTATATTAATTGATTTTCAATCATATATTGATGATTTGTGAACTGTTCACACTGGATTCTAAATAGTTTGGAGCTGCATTAAAGACAGATGTAACCCATTCGCAAGATAAGACTGGGGTTTTAAATGTTTTTCGGTGTGAACACCTATATACTGTGTCTGCTTCTTACTGCACTTCCACACAAACTACACATGTAAATCAGCTTATTTTGTTGCGCTGGTAAACAAAATAAACCAAGCAGCAATCACACACACACGCATGCGTCCTTGCCTTCATGGGGTCAGTGTTGACCAGAGGCTGGTTGTCGATGGCTCCAGGTCTTTGTGCTGCCAGCTGGGAGGGGAGGTGGCCGTTGGCTCCAGAAAAACACTGATTGTTGTTGTCTGATACGTTGTGCTGACGGGCAAAACAGCTCTCTGTGGCAGAGGGAGCTACCTGGGGGCTCAGGGCTGCTGGGACAGACCCATAAAAAGAGGAACAAACAGAAACAACACAGAAACACAAAATGAGTGTTAAAAATCTGAGTAGCTGTCGCACTTTGGTTTTTATATGCTAGCTACTCTTTGGTGAAGTGTGTTGACTGACCGGTCTCTGTAGCCTCCGAGGCGCTGGACACAGCATCAGGTGACCTCTCCTCTGTGGGGCTGACAGGGCTGAAGGTTCCCAGTCCTCCCAGTCTGTCTGGTGGGGTGGGCTCTATAGTAGCTGTGGCCATGGGAGTTCGCAACGAGCTCAGGATGGACGGCTGCTCCACCACGATGCCCTTATGCTCCTGGACAGGAAGATAACAGCAGGGACTGCCCTGTCATTGTTCAAAGTGATATCTGAGATTAATGTGGCGTTTACTTTCAAAACAGTGACGTTATTGTGCAAGATGCAGCGACAAACCTGGTCTCAAAAACTGTATTGTACTCTACTTTTGCAGTTATAGTAATCTGTGAACAGACACATCTCTGCAAATGGAAAACACGTTTTTAACAATAAATGTCCATACAACTACTAAACCTTTGCATGTGAGCTATGATTTAGAGTGTGACTTTACAGTACCCAAGTTAGATAATATATAGAACATGTCACATGTAATGTTCTGTATGAGGGATTCCTCTTGAACCCATATTGATGTGCAAGAAATCAATCAGGTACATGTGCATTTTAAGCTTTTGAGAGTCAAGATAAAGAACGGCCTGTGAGTGGCCAAGCAGGGGTTATAGTGATAAAATAAAAAAAGAGAGACGGCGGTGGTCGAGTGACCTAGAGAGTGAATAAGGAGAGTGAGCGCAGGTAGAGAGAAAGCCGGTGAATCTGAGAAATGAAACATTTTCTGACTGTTTCATAACAGTTACGATCTAAATCGCAAATATACAGCACAACAAAACCTGATTTGGTCTGAATGCATATTCACATCATATTGCCTTCTTTAACTTAACTTAC